GCCTGCACTGATGGTACATGTGTTGCCACGGTGAAGCTGTGTGATGGAAGCACAGACTGCCCCGGCAGAGAGGACGAAAACAGAAGCAACTGCCACACTGGAATTGTCACGCCGGCAGTCCCCCCATCTTCAGGTGATGACGGAGCCAGATTTAAGGAATGGACAGAAATGGGTTCAAGTTAGAACATGTTCATATACTTGAGCTCTTGTTATTTTGAGAAGGTGAAATGCTTTGTTTCTCCAGCCTGCAGGCCCCAGGAGTTCCCCTGTGCCTCTGGCAGCCAGTGTGTTCCTGAGGTGTGGCGCTGCGATGGGGAGACAGACTGCAGGGACGGTAGTGATGAGCAGCAGTGTGCTGCTCCATGTGGGCCTCACCAGGTGCTCTGCCTCAGCGGGGACCAGTGTGTGGACTACCAGCAGCTCTGTGACGGGATCCCCCACTGCAGGGATGCCTCGGATGAGAGCATAGACAACTGTGGTCAGTTTAGAAGCCATTCGGGATAATGATACAAGGCTGCAAGCATCAAAGAAAATGTTTCTGTAGCCAAAAGCATTTTGGCTGATGAATGTGGTGGCAGATGCTGACACCAAACCTGTTCCCCAGGCTCCAGTCAGATACCTTCTTGCCCTGGTAGCTTCCAGTGTGACAACCGCACTTGTGTGAACATGTCAAAGGTCTGCAACAACATCCCAGACTGTCCACAGAGTGACGACGAGTTGGTGTGTGGTAAGTCCCCTCAATACAAGGCGAGAGAGGAGAGAGTGGAGGGAAGCATGGCTGGAGACCAGACAGAGCTAGAGGCAGAAGAGGAGCAACGTGCAAAATGATCATGATGTGATCCAGCTGAAGCTGACTGCTGCACACCACTGAAGGACAGGCCGCTAATGTCAGGGCCCAAATGTCTGAAGACTAGTCTAGTCTGTGTGTGTGTGTATTTATGTGTGTATATGTATTATACAGTGTGTATGTATTACATGTATACATTTTTCTTTCTGTGAAGATAAAACTGCTTCACCAGTGCCTCCTGGCAGTAAGAACACCTCTACCACCTGCTCTGAATTTACCTGTATGGATGGGACCTGTCTTCCCTTCAACTTGGTGAGTCTCAAAGCAATGGATAACCTCCATGAGCATCTATTTTTGGTGCGTCTTCAATATTTTCTTTCTTGAGCAGCACATAGCTCATATTCAGTTCATGTTGTATTTCTCAGGTTTGTAATGGTGTAGCAGACTGCCCAGACTCCTCACTAACACAGAGGGGCCCTACGGATGAACAGGGTTGTAGAACTTGGAGTTCTTGGGGCCCCTGGAGCCCCTGCAGTGTTTCCTGTGGGACAGGTTCAATGAGCCGAGAGAGACCCTGCCCTGCAGGGGACCCCCTTCATCGCTGTCAGGGCCCAGGCGTCCAGAGGCAGCAGTGTTTCAGCGTCTCCTGTCCTGGTAAAGACGGAGAGAGAGAGAGTGTGAGAGAGTGTGTGTGTGAGTAGAGCATATGTGGAGTTTTTATCACCACAAAAATGTTATTTTCCACTCAGTAAAACACAGATGATTCCATCATACTGTACTCCAGTATTACGTCACACAACTTTTGTGAACCGGTTTAAGTTGAACACATGGAACACGCATTCTCCCCAGCTTTTAATGTGCTCCAACTCCATCTTCACAAAGTTCTATCCAACCTTAATCTTGTCATCAGCCAGGCCCAGTGCTGTCTCTGAAGCTGCTACAGAAGACACACCATGCCGCTTCCCCTTTACTGTGTATTTCAGACTCAGATGCAGGAGCACTGCTGAATAGGGACCACACCTTGCGTGTGCATAGCCCCTTTTGGCCAGTGGTGGATCACTTTGTGGAGTGGTGTGACAACCACCTCTTCAAGTATCAACAATAGCAAATATGTAGTCATTGAATTGTGAAGGATCTTCCATTCAGCAGCAATAATTAAGACGAGATGTCCCACCTGTGATCTGAACACAGCCGCAATCTGCAAGAAAGCCTGCAGAGACCTGGAGCTTTATTCAACGGGCCGCTCATTAAATCCATTCTAGCCTCCCCTTGCTTATTGGTATAGCCTCTTGCCTCTGACAAAGTCAAATTGATATATTTTTTTCCTGATGCACTTAAGCTGTTGGCCAGGTTCTCTGTGACATTTCATTTAGAATGTCTTATTGTTGTAATTCCAGTGGCCTTTTTGATGGTGATGTGTCTATGCTTGAATTTGGTCAGGTGTCTTGCTTGCAGTTTTAGGTCTCAGTTTTCTGTCTTCTCAACTAATACCAAACCAAGTTCTTCCTTCACAGACTATATGTTTTGAGAGAGGAAGCTTTTATTTCCAATGCTTTCAATGCATAGGAAAAAGTCAGAATTCTGATGAATGCATTTTTCATAAATTCAACGTTTTTTTGTTGAACTCATTAGATTGAACAGAACCCTCAGGACGTCACATAAATGTGTGCTGAGCTCTGATTCCTCTGCCTCTGTCTAGTGGACGGTCAGTGGCTGCCTTGGGTGAGCTGGTCAAACTGCTCCATCAGGTGTGGGGGAGTGCAGGTGAGGCACAGAGGCTGCATTCCTCCTCAGAACGGAGGCAGAGACTGCTCTCAGCTGGACGGACCTTCTAACTTCTCCATGGAAATTAGTAAGAATTACCCGTGAACAGAAACAGAGAAAGTGGATTAAAATGTGCAGTATGTGACAGTATGGAAATATTATGCTGGTAATTTAGCTAGTTTAACACAACATTCTGATTATTGATGCATTTCCTGAGGATCAACCCATCCTTCACTCTATCCATGTACCATCCTTAAAAGGAAACAAAACAATAGAACGTGTTCCTCTCTGGCCTGTCCCACTCCAGAACCGTGTCCCGACGACGGGTGCACCAATGCCAGCTGTCCGCTGGGCCTGGTCAGACACAGCTGTACTCCCTGTCCAGCTTCCTGTTCCCACCTCAGCAGTGGCACAGCCTGTGCCCCCTCAGCCGCCTGCTTCTCCGGTCAGTAGTTACAGCTCACAGGGCTTCTGGCTGTTTCAGAAGAGTCCCAATAAATGTTCAGAAAACTGATAACACATTTCTGTGTTCAGGCTGCTGGTGTCCCGGGGGCCAGGTGATGAGCCACACACAGAGCTGTGTCTCACCTGAGGAGTGTGTGTGTGAGGTGGAGGGCGTGCGCTACTGGCCGGGCCAGCAGATCAAAGTGAACTGTGAGCTCTGTGTTTGTGAGAGAGGGCGGGCTCAGCACTGTAAGCCTAACCCCGACTGCTCAGGTGAGGAGCACAAAGCGTCTGCCCCCCCCCTCCATCCGAGCCCTTGTACACCGGCAGCTTTGTCTCCCTGCAGTGCATTGTGGGTGGTCTTCATGGTCTGAGTGGGGAGAGTGTTTAGGACCCTGCGGTGTCCAGAGTGTTCAGTGGTCATTCCGCAGTCCAAATAATCCCACCGGCCATGGAGATGGGAGAACCTGCAGAGGGATTTACAGGAAAGCCCGTCGGTAGGTCCACTCAGGGACTCTCCCTAACTTGGTTCCTCTTAATGTTTCATGTATTTTTGTGTGTTTGAAGGTGTCAGACGGAGCCCTGTGAAGAGTGTGAGTATCATGGTCAGTCTCATGTGGTTGGAGACAGATGGAAGTGGGAGCAGTGCCAGTTATGCCAGTGCTATCCCAACCTGACGGTGCGGTGCTCTCCCTACTGTCCACATGCAGCCCCTGGATGTCCTCCGGTAAGACCAGAGCGGTTGTGTCATTTGCGTGGCCGGAGAAATTGGTCTGAAATTTGAGTCGAGTTATCGCGAACAGGTTGAATTTGAGTTTTCTTTTACATATTTAGCAGATTGAAGAGAACCTGCCTCCTATATGCACATTGTGCCCATGGGGAAATATGACGACAGCATGTTCAACATCTGTGTCAGAATGTGTGTTTGGCTGCAGCTGTTTGGGGCTTTTCCTCTGCACAGCCGCGTGCCAAAGCCACTGCACCACATTGGCCACTAACCTACCTGCTCTGTGTGTTTAGGGCTCCAGTTTGGTGCCTGGAGAGGGAGACAGGTGCTGTTACTGCCGAGGTAAAATCACTGGCTGTTCACTTGATTCGTAAATTCTCAGAACTGATCTGGTTTAATCTCAGCCCCATACATTGTTTGTGCTTTGAGAGAGAGCTCTCCTCCATTAAGGGAAAAATTGGGAGGTTCTTTGGAGAACTAGTGTCTGTGGGTAACACGCTCCATCCATCAGTCGTCCTCCTCTTATTTGAGTCGGGTGGAGCTCCTCCCCCTCTCTTTAGCCCAGCCCCCTCTGAAGGGAACTCGTTTCAGCCCAAATCTGTGAGCAGAGCTCAGGGTTGGAGCAAAGATGGAGCAGGAACATGAACGCTTGTCCTTTGGAATCAGCTCCCTTAACCAACCGGACCGGATGAGGCTGCCTCTTTCCAGATGAGAACCACACCCTCACAGTGCATGTGCTTCAGTCCAGCAAAAGTGACTGGAGGATTCCATAGTCCCAGTGAAGGGCGCAGTGGCTGGATTAGGGAGATCCTTCCACAATAAAAAATCAGAGTTAAAGAAAAAACACACTTATTTCAATCAATTTGACTCAATATTAACTGGTTTGACAAGTGCATTTGACAAGAGATTTACGGTAAACAATTTTAGTTACAGGGTAAAGATTCTAGAACCAGGGGATTCAGTAAAAGTGTTCAACAGTAATACGTTTAGCTCTTAAAGGTTGTTGTCTGGATGATGTGCAGGGGAAAATGACACGGTAACGGTCAGGCCTGCCACTGTGACCTCGGAGCCAGCAGAGGGCGCCACAGCCCCGATCCCCACATTTCCACTGCCACATGGAGGTGGGGGCTTTTTACAGGTGCCACATGAGTTAGATGACTCCAGCCTTCTGTGGATCCACTTTCATTACTGTCAAAACCTTTTTTCTTCAGATGACTGTTGGGTTCCACTGGGTGTCCAGATTCTGCCAGCCTCTAGCTTCACAGCCTCATCCCACCAGGCCGGCCACCCCCCCGAGGCAGCCCGGCTCCATGGGTGGGACCCACATCTGGACCTGCAGGTGTTACACTCAGTGACATTCCCATCTTCCTAATACTTTGAGCCACCATAAACTATTTTTAGCCTGCAAATCTGCTGAATTAGCCAGAGGAATGGTGGACAACATGTAGTAAATATCAGCATCTTACACTGTCTTTTGTTGTGTGGCTGTAATTTGCAAGAGATTTCTCTGCAGGGCTGGAGTCCAGAACCAGAAGAATATAAAGATCTGCCACAGCGAAGGCCGCAGGGACACAGTGTCAACACTCACAACCCTTACCTACAGATAGACCTGCTGAAACCACACAACATCACTGGTAAACATTCCTCCAGGTGCCCTTTAGCTTGCTGAGGACTGTTTGTCAAAACTGATTTCTCTATGGAGTTCTAAAGTATGCCTTAGATAGATTAGTAATACATTTTCTGTGTTTTGAAGGCGTGTTGACCCAGGGTGGTGGTGTGTTTGGCGCATTCGTGTCCAGCTTCTACCTTCAGTTCAGTCAGGATGGGGATCGATGGTCCACCTACAGGGAGCATGTGTCGGACGCCCGGCCCAGAGCCAAGGTCTGCCAGCAGCAAGCACACAACTTCCTCCTTTTACTTTCAGCATCCTCAGCGGTGTGCGACCGTTCTTCCTGCAGGTGTTTCTTGGGAACCATAATGATCAGGGTGTGACGGAGAGCAGACTGGATAGGGTGGTGCTGGCTCAGTTTGTTCGCCTGTTGCCCCAAGACTTCCAGAACGGCATCTACCTACGACTTGAGATCATGGGCTGCAGTGAAGGTTGGTAGGCTGTTCAGGATTTGGTAAATGTTGCACAAATGTGTGTACAGATGGGATCCAGAGTCCTCAGGTTTCTCCTCTCCAGGTCCTCCCTGGTTAACCTCCCCCACCCCACCCTCACCGGTCTCTGCAGTGGGCTGCAGGGCAGAAGAGTTCCAATGTGCAAATGGTGGCTGTGTGTCAGCGGGTCCACTGGGAGTCGTGTGTGATGGAGTCGATCACTGTGGAGACGGATCAGATGAGAGGTTCTGTGGTGAGCTCGTCATTCTGAGAACTCTTTTATAACCCCTAAGGTTTAAGTTCAGGCCTTTGGTAAGTGACACACACCAAAAGTAATAGCTGCCCTAATTAGTTACCTTCCTCCTCATATCCAGGCACCCAGCCCTCATCCACCGCTGCCGGCCCACAGCGCTGCCAGAGCGGCCAGTTCTCCTGCCCCCCACCGGGGGCCTGCATCGAGGCAGGACAGCGATGTGACGGTGTTCCACACTGTCCCAGAGGAGAGGATGAAAACGGCTGCCACCCAGCGGACATCACCACCCAGTCAGACAGGTCAGCCTATGCTGCTCCTACTGTTAGCACTTCTCCAAATCACTTGTTTGCAGGTATAGTTTTTTATGAGGATGCTAAAACAGCTCATTTCTCATGTATATTAACACCATCCTACAAATGTTCTCCTGCCAATTTGGTCATTGTGTTTATATAATTCAGTTGCCTTGTTTTTTAAGTTAGCTCATTCTGTTTTATTTGACCTTATTACTTCCTCTTGATACTTGCTGTTGCACAGCGGTTTCCTGCAGGATGAATAACAGATTTGACAGATTACTCCCCACTGCTGTTCACAGGCCCTACAGTACCACGCCCGCCCCCCTGAAGACCCCGTCCATGGCTGCTGTTACTCTGGCTGCCGTATCACCAACAGTAAGGAAATGATTAAGTGGAAGATCTACTTTTTCTGAAGAATCTCCAGAATTGATAGTGATGACTGCCACTTAAAGAGGCTTCATCAAAAGATGATTGTACAGAATGTTGATAGAGAAAAATCAAACAGTTTTTTTCCACAGTAAGAAGAAACATTATTGAAAATGAAAAATATTACTTTCTGTCCTCATATTTGTGAATAAACTGCTTGTGGCTCAGAGCAAACCTGAAGCTTGCAGCTTTGATGCAGTAGTCAGTCTGAGCTCCAGAGTTCTCATGCAGTGTGTTGCGTTTTCAGGGAGGCGGTCCTGGACATCTTGGTGAGTTTTAAATGCCATGTTGTACATGCAATTGCTAAAAAGTTTTTTCCAAAAATGAAATTATTTTACTTTGACAGATTTCTTATTTGGGAGGGGGGTTGGTTTGTCGGGCTGTGTGATATCTAGAAACACCCAATGTTGCAGGTATTTGCTCCTCTCCTCTGGGACTGGAGGATGGGCGGATTCGTTATGGCCAGCTGACCTCATCCTCACAACGTGAGAACAACCCTGCTGATGCTGGAAGGCTGAACATCGTCCCCAACATGTGAGTTTGCTGTTTGGCTGAACTCCACCTGGGCTGCAACAAATGTGAACTGCTGTGTGGAGCTCAAATATGTGTACTGCTGCTTTAATGCTCCTCCCCTCCTATGTCTAATTGGATCAGATTTTTTTTGTCAGTCTTGCTTTTTTTTTTTTAAAGACAACAGCTGAACTTGAACTGCTGAGCAAAGTTTTCTTTATATTCCCTGTGCATGATTTCCTTTTGTCTGTCATCATTCCCACATCCTCAATCAGTGTGCACACACCTGCATCGAGCTGAGATCTGGTCCTTCTTTATTTGCCTGTTCAGTATCTTTAAGCGAAGATTTTAAAGGTGATCCCCTCTGGTTCCGGCAGTCAGGTTATGGAACCTGGTTGGAGCCCCTTGCCCACAGACCCAATGCCATATCTTCAGGTGGACTTCCTGGAGCCTACCTGGGTCTCAGGGGTGGTGACTCAGGGCAGTGAAGGCATGTGGGGTTCTCTCTCTCAATACCGCCTTGCATTTGCCCTGCATAGCAGCCTCTTCACAGACTTCACAGAGAGTGGGAAGCCCGGGGGTCCCGCCAAGGTATTTGTGATCATGTGCACCTTGACATAGCAGAGCCTGCTGTAGGTGTTTACCTTTGGTCTGTAATGGCTTTTGGTTTGGCTTGTGTAGGTGTTTGAGGTACGACTGGCCGGCAGGACCCCTGTGACCCGCTGGCTGGGCCGGCTGGTCAGAGCACGCTACATGCGCATTATCCCAGTGGAGTTCAGACACACCTTCTACCTGCGTGTGGAGGTGCTGGGCTGCAGAGGAGGTGGGAGATTTAAGTAGATATGACGATCAACATTGCCCACAGTGTAAGTAGAGAAGAAGAGCTCTTGGTTCTTCTGCCTGTGCAGATGAGCTGGTGACCCCCGCCTCTCCGGCTGCGAGCACCACGGTGTCCCTGCAGCACTGTCAGCCCGGCCAGTTCACCTGCCACCACAGTGAGGAGTGCATTCCTGCGTCAGCGCTTTGTGATGGGAGACCAGACTGCTCGGACCAGTCTGATGAGATCAGCTGTGGTGAGCTCAACGTGTGGCAGCGGCTGATTCCAATTTTATTCACAGCAACAGTTATCTCACAGCGCTCCCCAAACAGAGCACTCAGACCCTACTCTGAAGAGGCCCAACAATTATCTGATCCAAACAGGCAGGCTCTGAGGCATGGATCGCTTAGTTTGGAGAATGTCTATATTGCATTTTGTTTCTCCTTCTCCTCCTCAGGCTCTGCTCCAACCAGAGGCTTCCCAGGGCTTCACAACCAGACCAGCTACACCGGGAGGCCAGGTTTCCCCAGCAATACCACAACAGGTGCCCCTGGCCTAAAACTCACCTCTCCTCAAGCAGGCTTTCCTGGTGTTGCAACACCAGGAGAAAGAGGACCAACCAGACTTCCACAGATCACACCTCCAAGTACTGACGTGTGATCAGCTCATTTCTACTTGTTTTCTCGACTATGAGAAATGGATTAGTTTACTGATTTTTACAAAGACAATATTACTTTGTCTTTGTTCTGTCCTAGCCCTTCGGATCACTGTACAAACAGTTTATATTATTATTCAGGGGTCACAACAGGTGAAACCTGACATTTTGATAGAGAATAGGGAAAAGGGTGTCACCTTGATGTTCTGCTGATTTACAGCTCCAGCAGTCACGAGCCCCCATGAGGGCGATCTGCCCCGAGGGCTTTGTGTGGAGGGCCAGTTTGCTTGCTGGTCTTTTGGCTGTGTGGACTCTGCAGTAGTGTGTGATGGAAGAAAGGACTGTTTGGATGGTTCAGATGAGGAACGCTGTGGTATGTATTCCTAACATATCAGGGCCAATGAGAATGGAGTTCTGATAACTTAAACTTAATATGCAAGCCACAAGAATGGATGAGTCATGGAATGTACAGTTTCCAGTACAGACATTAAAGTGTCAAACTGAATGACCTCCACACAGCCAGGCCTCCAGTGACTCCACACAGCCCCCCCGCCCACAACCCCTGCTCTCCTAAGCAGTTTTCCTGTAAGAGCGGCGAGTGCATTCACCTGGATCAGAGGTGTGATCTGCAGAGACACTGTGTGGATGGGTCGGATGAAAAAGACTGTGGTAGGTTATGTTGGCACCTCCTCAGCAGCCGTCTACACAAACTGATCTTGCTCCTTCACATAATCTCTTCTCCCTTGAAGTGGACTGCATCATGTCTGCTTGGACCCTATGGAGTGCCTGCAGTGTGACCTGCGGCCTGGGCTCCCTGTTCCGGCAGAGGGACGTAGTGAGGGAGGCTCTGCCTGGGGGGTCCTGCGGTGGAGCTCAGTTTGACAGCCGAGCCTGCTTCCCTCAAGCCTGTCCAAGTCTGTCCTCCTGCCTCTGTTCCTCATCTGCCTGACTACCTCCAACACACGCCCACTCTGTGATCTGAAGGTGTCTGTGTGCCCTCCCACAGTCAACGGCCACTGGTCGGCGTGGACGGAGTGGTCAGCGTGTGATGCTCTCTGTGGGGGAGGTGTCCGGCAGAGGAAGCGAACATGCTCCACCCCTCCTCCTAAGAACGGGGGGCGAGAATGTGAGGGCATGACCCAGCAGAGCCAGAGCTGCAACAACCAACCGTGCAGCAATGCCACTGACACGCAGACAGGTGAGCATCTGGACAGATGTTCCAGATGATCCAGACAGGTGAGCATCTGGAACAGCTGTTCCAGATGTTGGCTCTGAATAATGCTGCTTCAGACAGGGCACAATAAGAGCCTCTAAGTGACATTGATATGTGTGTGTGTGTGTGTGTGTGTAAGGTGCTGTCCATGGCGAGATGTTACTGTTTTTTTCATTCATAGAGTTCATGCTGCTTTCCAATCAGAATACAAGGGCCTTGTGTAGGCCCATTTCTCCTCTCCCTTATTACCCACACATTGCCGTAGCTCAGCCTTTCTCTTTCAGTCGGAGACTACCCTCTCCTTGAAAAGGAGGAAGTGGGTCACAGAATAGTGGCTCATTTATTTGGAGGTTCCAAAAAGGTTGTGGCGTGACTAATCTATTCCAGCATGTGATGCAGTGTGATGGGAATAGTAAGCTGCAGGCTGCAGCCTAAACTGTAAAGCCACCCCGGCCCTGAAACGACCACAGCACAAGGCTGGTTTGCACTGGCTGTGGATTAGAGGGACGGGGAGAGAAGTCACTAAAGCAATATCCATAGAGCCATCTTTTCCTCATGCCTCCACAATGATAAAGTATGGGGACATACATTGTGTATTGTCATTTAGTCCAAAATATTGGGATGGAATTTTTGTTCCAGTAATATCTTTTATTACCTGGAGACAACATTCAAATGATCCTGACCTGAATGATTTTCCAGGACGGCATCTTTAAACTGTCGGAATGATTTGACTGTTACTGACTGGCAGGCTGTGTGAGGGGAATGCTGCTGGTGACCGAAGAAGACTGCCAGGCTGGGAGAGTCAGCCCTTGCCCTCCCACCTGTACAGACGTCAGCATGACCACCAACTGCACTGCAACATGCACAGAGGGTAGGACACATGTTTGAGCATGTTTGGCCCCTCTTGGCCCTCATGAGAAATGGTTTCCATTTCTAAGCACTTTCTCATTCTCTGCATCAAACAACACACAGTGTGTTACCTTCTAACTCGCCCCCTGCTTTTTCAAACATATTGGTAAATGCAGAGACATGTCAGTTTATTTGAAATAACTGAAACTGTGTTTGTCTTCAGGATGCCGATGTCCCAGTGGGTTTTACCTTCAGAAAGGCCAATGTGTGGAATCCAGCAAATGTGTGTGTCATTGGGGTGGTGAAACAATGGAGCCAGGACAGGTGACCAGCCCAGACCCGTGTACCACCTGGTGAGACGCACTCCTTTTGAAATGTTTATGCCTGGTTTTGATAGTTTCTTTTTTGAAAAAAAGTAATAATGAAAACAATCACAAAACTGTAAAACTGCAGTGTAATGTGCTTGTGTCATAAAAATGTAGTCTGAAGATTCTTGCAGTCAAAGACTTTAAGGATACCAATTTCTATAGCGCATAACGCAATAAATCAGAATAGTCTAATAATGTGGTCTATTTTTGCCACCCAGTGTGTGCAGGGATGGACAGGTCACCTGCAACACATCTACTTGTCTAGCAACCTGTAATTGGTCAGCCTGGTCGTCATGGACACCGTGTGATGTCACCTGTGGTGTGGGTTTACAGCAACGTTACCGGTGAGCTTCTGCAGTTCACTACATATTCATAGGGTCTCACTCTTCAGTGGACGGAAGTCCCTTTAAGTGTTCGATTTCCTTGTGGCTCAGACATCATTCCTCAGCTTCACTGCGTGTGTGATAGGCCATGACGGATGTCCTTATCATCATAGGCATCAGTCATGGGGATTGGGTTCTCTCACTGTTCCCATGACCGAAGCGTTTGGAATTACTGGCACCCAGCACATGGTGGATATGAATGAGGCTCAGGGTCTTTATCTCCCCATGTTGTCTCTGCCCAGGTCTCTGGTGAATCCAACGGGGACTATCAGAGTCCAGCCCTGTCCAGGAGACTCCTCCGAGGCCCGTCACTGCTCCAGGCCATGCTCCTCCGGTGCGTGAATAAATGCTGAAAACAACTAAACTGTTTCTCAAGCAGCTGTCTGTTCATTTCAGCTTTACATTTTTCATATAGAATAACCCTATATGAAAAAAGGTTGACGTGGTGTCAATGGAAATCAGAGCAGAATGGTCTGATGTTCAATAGATAATAGAAAACGTAGAATACTGAAAGTGAGACTTTAGTCTTCTTAATGAACACTAAGATAAGCTGAATCCTGACTCTAACAGCAGGGACAGATCCATCATTCCCTCTGTGGGGCATCAGCTTTGCTAACACCAGTCTGTAAACAGACCCGAGCTGGATGGTCCCTGTTTACTCTAAATGATGGAGCATGTCGTCCTCCAAAGATCACCATTATCCATCACTGCACACTGTGCCAGTCCCAGCTGACACTGGGTGAGAGGCGGGGGGCACATTGGATAGGTGGCCAGTCCACGGCACGTTATGTTAAATGTATCATATTTACTAGGATGTGTGATATATGAAACAGGAAAATAGCTCACTTTCACCATTCACTTTTGTTCTGTTGTGCATCAAATGTAGATTTATGACTATAAATGCATTTTTGAAGCTCTTGTTTTCCATTTTGATTCAAAATGTTCCCTTTTCTCTGTGACTGTGGCTAAACATTCTTGACCCACGTTCTCCATGATGTCTTTATCTTCCTGCTGTCAGGTGGTGCTTGGAGCGAGTGGACGCGCTGGTCAGAGTGCAGCAAAACCTGTCTCAGCCATGTGGATGAGCCTGGAATGAAACGAAGATTTCGCAGCTGCAACAATACTCTCTCCATGTCCAACCACTCACACACCCTGTCTCTCTGTGATGGAGAGGGTGAGGAGCAGGAGCCATGCAACACTTTTCTCTGTCCAGGTGAGACAAAAAGAAGGACACAAACAGAAAATGCTCACCCAGAGATCCCTAAATAACTGCCATAACCTCCATCCAGTGCATGGCGACTGGTCAGCCTGGTCACCGTGGTCTGGCTGTTCATCTGAGTGTGACTCTGGTGTGCAGACCAGAGAGAGATTCTGCAGCTCCCCAGCACCACAGCACGGCGGGGGCAGCTGCACTGGACCTCACGTCCAGACAAGAGACTGCAACTCCCACCCCTGCTCCGGTACGCCCATCTGTCTGTTGGAAATATTACTCCAAACACTGTACATTATGCCCAGAAATGACCAGATGCTATTCTGCGTTGCTTCCTGTGTCCACCGCTCACTCAGGTGTGTGTCCAGAGGGCATGATATACTTGACAGCGGCTGAGTGTGAGCTTCAGGGGGGGGCGTGTCCCCGGGTCTGTCTGGACATGACCCCTGCAGAGGTGCAGTGCGCCACCGCCTGCTACGATGGCTGCTACTGCCCCCCAGGGCTGTTCCTGCTCAACGGCAGCTGCGTGCCTCTGGGGCAGTGTCCTTGCTACCACCAGGGGGGGCTGTACCCTGCAGCCGCAACGCTGCCCAGGGATGCCTGTAATAACTGGTACTCTTCCTCTGGCCCTCACCCACCTGTGCAGTAGCTTTTTCCTTTCTGAGATGGAATGTGACCTTTATGTGCGTCTCCCGCAGCACCTGCGTTAACGGGGAGATGGAGTGTGGGGCGGCGGCCTGCCCAGGTGAGTGCTGTCCCATAAAATGCCTTCATCTCTTTCTCTGTTTCACTTCCTGCCCTGTGCTGTGTGCTGAGCCTCTCTCTGTCTCCCCATGTGTCAGTGGATTGTGGCTGGAGCAGCTGGACACAGTGGAGTGTGTGCAGTCGGACCTGTGATGTCGGTGTGAGAAGGCGGTACCGCTCAGGAACCAATCCTCCCCCAGCATTCGGTGGCCGCCCCTGCAAAGGAGAGAGGATCCAGATAGATTCCTGCAGCCTAGAGCCCTGCCTTGGTGAGAGAGTACTTTGTTGTTGTTGTTGTTGTCATTCATGTTTTTAATTGTAAGAGAGGCTGCATGCATGTAGTGAATGAACCGGCTGTGATGTGTCTGAAGGTGTAAAGGAGCCCTGGGGTTTGTGGTCAGAGTGCTCAGTGACTTGTGGAGGAGGTTACCGGACCAGAACTCGTGGCCCCATCAGAATTCACGGCACCGCTCAGCAGTTCAGCGCCTGTAACCTGCAGCCCTGTGGTACAGCACATCAGCCGCCTCACTAAACACTCAGAACCCACTGTTACACCACATGGATGAGGTTCCTAACCTTTAACAATGGGAAAAGCTAAAATAGTGACAGTAGAATGAACACGATTATTATGGAGGTAAGATGTTGAAAACAAAGCTGGAACATTGGTGTGAGTATTGTGGGTGTGTGCGGTCTGCTGTGCAGGAGGAGTGTGTCCTGCAGGTCAGGAGTGGAAGCGGTGTGTGACAGGGCCAGTGTCGTGTGCAGACCTCACAATGGACCTGAGCAGGAACTGCACGCCCGGCTGTCAGTGTCCACCGGGGGCTGTCCTGCAGGTAGGCCGCAGTGGCCACACAGCTGTCCAGCTGCAGGACACAGCTATAGCATTCATATTTACAGGACGGCGTGTGTGTGCACGAGGCCCTCTGCCGCTGTGACATGGGAGGAGAGCAGCACCAGCCTGGAGACACTGTGCCCACAAACTGCAACAACTGGTGAGAGCAGCGGCTGCACACGCTGTGAGGGGGGGCGGTTTGTGGCTCTGCTCCTCTCTGGAGCATCACACTGATGAAAGCCCTCTCATTTCAGCACATGTGAAGGAGGGAGGCTGGTCAATTGTTCTAGAGTCAGCTGCAAGGGTAAGAATCATTTATATTTTTCTTAAGCCCAGGTCATACATGTATGTGTACGTATACAGTATATGTGTGTATGTATCTGCGTCCAGTGATGGAGTTTCAGCCATAAAACAGCCACTCTGTTGTCCTGTTCTGGCACTCACAAACGCACTCTGTGCAGTGGATGGCCTGTGGTCAGCATGGACTCCTTGGGGTCCGTGCTCGGTGTCCTGTGGAGTGGGTCTCCAGTCCCGGTACCGGTTCTGTTCCAGTCGGCTGCAGTCAGGCAGAGGCTCCGCATGTCTCGGCCCTCACCGTGAGGACCAAGTCTGCATGGCTGCCACGTGCGACCGTGAGTTCATTTAGTGTCACACACTGGTCTGGGAGCGACCCCCCCACTCAGGCTGCTGCTCTCTGTCCTGTTTGAGTCAGTCCCACTGAAATCACACGTCAGCCTTCTGAAGTCCCTTTCTTTAAAGAGCTACCTGCAGTCTAACTGATTCTCTTCTCCTGATGTTTCAGGTGATGGTGGGTGGAGTCAATGGAGCAACTGGACAGAATGTACCAAGTCCTGTGGGGGGGGTGTACGAAGCCGGAAGAGAAGCTGTGACAGTCCCTCACCAGAGGGGGAGGGGAATTACTGTGAGGGGCTGGGGACTGAGGTCAGAGGCTGTAACATGGAACACTGTCCAGGTACTGATGGCTCTGGGCTGTGGCGGGGCTAGGCAGCATACTCCTGCTGTAACGGAAGGCTTTTGTTTTCAGTGGCTCCGTGTTCTCAGGTCCCAGGCACAGTGTTCAGTAGCTGTGGGCCGTCCTGTCCTCGGTCCTGTGACGACCTGTCGGTGAGTACAGCCAGCGGGAGCCCTGTTTCCCAGCATCACCCTCATCCCACACACTGTGGAAGGAAGCCAATGGCTGTTGATCTGCCCCTCAGCACTGTGTGTGGAGCTGTGAACCTGGCTGCTACTGCACAGAGGGAATGCTCCTGTCCGCTAACGGCACCGTCTGTATTGAGAGGGACGCCTGTCTGTGCTTGGACATCAACACTGGACACCGACGGGAACCAGGAGAGGTCATTAAGGCCCCTGATGGATGTAATAACTGGTCAGAATAAGACACACAGCACAGTAACGCACACACACAGCAACAGGCAGAAATAATAAGTCTGCTCCTCTGCTCCTTTCTGTTTATCAGCACATGTGAGGGGGGGAGGTTCAACTGCACCAGAGAGCCCTGCCCTGGTGAGAAGAGCTTCACTCAGGCGGTCTTTCACTGCTGCTCATATCATGCATGGTAGTGATGGTTCTTCTCTGCTGCCAGTGTCAGGGGGCTGGTGCGACTGGTCCCAGTGGACTCCCTGCTCCCGGACCTGTGGGGCAGACTCAGTGTCCCGTTACAGGAGCTGTGGCTGTCCTGAGCCTAAGGCTGGAGGGGAGCCCTGCCCTGGAGAGCAGGAAACGCACAGTGGGGTTGGAGTTCAGATCCAGAGACAGCCCTGTCCCATCACCTCATTCTGCCCACGTACGATGCTAGATGTCAAGGAGAGAAACGTCTCATCACAATCATTGTTGCTTTTCAAATGTCTCTACAGGAAGTCAACCTCCCAAATCAGGGCCTTCATTTCTGAAACGGTGTCAGGGTTCTATAGTTACGGCTTTATCGTCCATAAACATCGTTCAACAGCGCAGCTTTTTTGTAGTCTGGGAGTGGGAACCGTTCTCAGCCCCAGGAGACAACACATCATGATCAGTTCAAAGCACCTCATGAGTTATGAAGAGTTTATTAGATATGAATACCAGTGACAAAGCGTCATTGTTGGAGGCACTCACATTTCTTGTCCTCCTGAAACCTATGTAAACATGGGCTGGACTGTGGGTGATTTCCTCTTGAATCATCTCAAACATTTACGTGGTGTCTCTTATGCCCCTTTTGTGTTGAACTGTCTCCATTTCCAGGTTGTTTTTCAGACCTTTTAACAAAGTTAAGACAAAATTAGATCCTTTTTGCCATTGTTGGTCTTTTGTTTACTCAACAGCGACAGATTCTACTTACTGTCATCCATTCCTTTTTGCAGTACATGGTTCATGGGGTTCCTGGTCAGTGTGGTCAGAGTGTGATGTCTGTGCTGGATCATCCACCCGGACCAGAGAGTGTAACAACCCTCCTGCCAGATTTGGTGGCCTACCCTGTCTGGGAGAGAGCCGGCAGAGCCGTGGTTGCCATGGGAACCTCACTGAGTGCTCAGGTCAGCATAGCAAAGAGATTCATGTTTGCAGTAACTGTTTGGGGACGAAAAATAAATGTGTGCTCTACAGAAGATGCTGAGAGAAAAAACAGCGTCCTCATAAGAAAAGAGGGTTGGCCTTAGTCTGGGGGTTCCTGGCAGTGGGTGAAGGTGGATGTAGGGGCTCCCGAGTGAATGCCAACAGGCCTGTTAACACTCCATGTGGGTCCAGGCCTACAGAACAGTACTCAGATGGTTGGTAAAATGAGTGTCAGAGGCCAGGTCAACAATAAACTTCATAAATCGTTTGTTTCTACACATCACCAGCCTGTGTGTTTTCTGTGTTAGTAGTGGGGGCAGCTTTGACTGAAGAGTAATGGATAAAGTACTGTGCGTGCTCTTTTCATTTGCACATGCTCACCTGTTTCCTACAGACTGTGGTGGAGGCCTGGAAAACGTGCCGTGTGGGAAGCCTTGTCCGCGCTCCTGTTCAGATCTCCATGGCGACACGGAGTGTTTGGACTCCCCAGGGTGCAGCCGGACCTGTGGTTGCCAGGGCGACATGGTGCTGCAGGATGGAGTGTGTGTGGCCAGGGAGGACTGCCGCTGCAGAAACCACAACAGCTCTGGTGCGCCCACCCCTCTGTGTGTGGAGCTGTGCCGAGCTGAGCTGAGTCTGTGGACAGGCGGTGATTTGTTCTGTCCTGCACAGGTGCTGTGGATTCCAGTAATTCATCCTGGGTATGGCCCGGTGGATCCGAGTGGCAGCTTGTGGAGCCGGGAGACATCGTCATCAGTGACTGCAAAAACTGGTACAAAAACTCTTCTACAGCATTTGTGCTGATATGTGAAAAGAGGAGAAATGTCGATTTGTTCAAGTTGTCCAGGTCGTTCTTAAGCATGAAGATGTAGTGAGTGAGTGTGAGTGCATGTGAGTGGCAGCTATGTTCTGCCAGCTGGGTGATAGTCTGTCCCTGCAGCAACCAGTCCCTGTCATCTACCTTTTCCAGCATTCCTTGCATCACATTTAGTGCAATATTAAAATCACTGACAGATATGAGTATTTGTTCCAAAACTCCTCTTATTGCTAAATCTGTGCTTTACTTGCTGCCCAGTGGAGTTAGCACCTTTACGTAAACTTTCACAGTACCATCTATGAACAATTATCATGCTATATCCATCTTCCTGGTCTCTGTATTCCGTTATGTTCATAGTTAAACTCTGAATATTTTCATGTGTTTTCCAACTCTCTCAGCTCATGCCAGGCGGGGGTTCTCCTGTGCGGGTCTGTCCCTGGTTGCCGTGCTGATGGGGGCTGGGGCCAATGGGGAGCCTGGTCTGAGTGCTCCCATCTTTGTGGAGGAGGAGTCAAAGCCAGGAGGCGGCAGTGTGATAACCCGGCTCCTCAGAGGGGGGGCAGAGGCTGCTGGGGAGTAGCAGAGCAGCAGAAAGACTGCAACATGCACCTGTGCCCAGGTGTTCATATGCAGCTGAGCTCGTTTCTGATTTGATGCCACTGTTTAGGAACAACATGGTCTGTGTGATGTTCACCGTACTGGTTTGAGGTTGTTTTGGTCACATAGAGCTAACACCAGCAGTTTGAATGCTTACAGACTTCAGGACAGTTTTGGTTAGATTTGAATGGAATCCTCTTTGCTCAGTGCTGTCTGTGCTGTGTTGGCAGATTCCGGGGGCCCGTGGCTGCCCTGGTCGCAGTGGTCTGTGTGCTCGGTCAGCTGTGGGGGGGGGCAGCAGGCCCGCTCTCGTCTCTGCAGCTCTGCAGCCTGCCACGGCCTCAGCCGCCAGAGCAAAACCTGCAACACGCAGGTCTGCCTCGGTAAGCCCCCGTCACACCTGTAGCCTGGGCTGGTGGGGGGGGGGGGGGTACCTGTTAGAAGGCAAGTGGGACAGAGATAAATTTTTATTTTAGGACTGTGTTTTTCATGTTTAAGATTTTTTAAATCACTGCTTCATCCCAGAATGGGGCGTGGCAGCCTGCCCCCCCCCATCCTCCTTTCCCCATGTTCCTTTTCATCATGTACCTGCAGAGTGGAGCGCAGTCATAACGGCTGCTGTGCTCCGGGTCCTGTATGTCCATTATGTGTTATGTCTGTCTGTTGTCTGATCTTCAGACGGGTTGGACTGAAGCTGGATTTCCCTCACAGGGTTAGTGAAGTTTGTCAAATGGAATCTGATCTAATGTTGACCGTGTGCAGATGTGGGCTGCCCTCCAGGCCGGCTGTACAGGGAGTGTGAGCGTGGAGAGGGCTGTCCTTTCAGCTGCTCTCAGGTCAGTGGCAGAGAAGGCTGCTACTCTGATGGCTGTGAGGAAGGCTGCCACTGCCCCCCCAACACCTACCAGCACCGCGGAGCCTGCGTACCGGTCAGTTCCATGCACTGCAAACCTTAGAAACTGTGATGTCTGGCCATTATAGAAACTGTTTCTAAACAGACCTTTCGCAATTCGTGTGTTTCAGGAATGTCCATGTCTGGTGGATAGGGAGTTTCTGGGCTCTCTGCAGAGTGTGTCAGCCACACCGGTCTCCTCCCTGCTCCCTCACAACATCTCAGAGGGAGTGGAGCTTCAGTCCGGAGACACAGTTGTGCATGACTGCAGTGTCTGGTGAGAAATAATTATATATAAATGTATTTATGTGTGTCTGTGTGTGTATTGTGCATGTACCTGTAAGTTTGCTCATATCCTATCCTTAACAGTGCCTGTGAGCATGGCAGGTGGAACTGTTCCCTTGAGCCCTGCCCGGTTGACGGGGGCTTGTCCCTCTGGGGCCCCTGGAGCCCCTGCTCGCTTTCTTGTGGGGGTTTGGGAGTGAAGGTTCGTTCTCGGGGCTGTACATGGCCTGTCCCAGCCCATGGAGGGAAAGACTGCCAGGGCCCACGCCAGGAAACTACCTTCTGTCAGGCTCCTGACTGTCCAGGTGTAGTAGGGGGGCAGTTTAAGAGGATAGAATGAAACTCTGCAGTTTGTCAGCAGAGAGAGGAAGTAACTTCATCATGTTTTGGCTTTTTGGCAGTAGTAGCTCCAACAGAGGAACCAACCATTCCAGGTAAAGTGTCAGATTTTGATTTGAATCTTTTACCGTTGATATAAATTAGATAATTTAGTCTCTTCTGACTCTGTCTTTGCTTTGTATCTCCTCTTTCCCTCTGCATGTTTTCAGAGGAGGACTCTGGCTTCTCTCCTTGGTCGTTGTGGAGTCCCTGCTCTAAAACCTGCACAGATATTCAAAGCCCAGCAATAAAGTCCCGCCATCGCCAGTGCGTCACATCTCCCTGCTCAGGGAGCTCTCTCCAGGAGAAGGCCTGCAACCTGCCCCAGTGTCCAGGTATCATGCAGTATTTTGTCTCTTTGGAGTTTCCATTCAGTCTGGCTGATGGCAATGCCTTACCTTCCTCCAAGTAGATGGGGGGTGTCCCCTTAAGCAGTTTGTGGGCTACCATCACTGCCGTGTACTGCGTGTGCAGCATGTGGAGCACGCACTGCTAGCTGAAGGACATGTGGGGGCAGCCTGGCTTTGACGGCTTCTGGTATCTAAATGCAGACGGGCTCATTTAGACGGGGAGGATGTAATGCTGCTGTCACAAGCACTGCATCTCTCACCAGATGAGCTCATCCGCCTTTGGCACCTCTGTCTTTGACTTGTTTGTCTTTCTCTTTGAGAACCAGGTTGTGGACATTGAACTCACCTTAAAATCTGAGTTGTAAACGTAGACAATTGGAAATGCCATCTGCCCACAGAGAGTCTGATCATAAGATCAATGACTCTCAGCTCTTCTTAAATTTGACCCCACTGACACAGTCCACTCGGGTGAAGGTAGGTGGAATCTGGCAGATTCCACCTACCTTCACTCTCCTCCGGTGTTCCCCAGGGCTCTGTCCTTGGTCTAGTCTTATTCATAATGTACCTCCTCCCTCTTGGCCACCTGCTTTGTAAATAAGGCATCAAAGTCTGGCTTTCACTTGACTTTCTAAAAGTTAACATGTAGAAAACAACAATTCTCCTCATTGGAACCAAATACATCCTCCCAAATTCTTCCAGTTTCACCCACACTGCAACTCCTCTGTCTCTCCATCCACTAAACTTCAGATCCTGGGTGTCATTTTCACAGCAGTCTTTTCTTTAAAACCCATCCCAATAGCAGTACCTGCTCCGCCTACACCCACCGCTGTGATGTCAGCGGCCTCCGCCCCTCCCTCACTCCTCCCTCCCTCCCTCACTCCACCCCTTCCTCCCTCACTCCTCCCTCCCTCACTCCACTCCTCCCTCCCTCACTCCACTCCTCCCTCCCTCACTCCACCCCTCCCTCCCTCACTCC